AAGAGATGACAGTCAGACTGATCACCATGTTTGGAGTCGGGAAGGAATTTTACCCCACGGTCAGACCGGTAAGGACTGTGGGGGATTTTGCCTTCCTTTGCAGCAGGTGGCCTGGCCCTTTATCTGGGATCTCCTGAGCATATATTAGCAACCTTTTACAGAAGCAGGGCACTGGCTGCCACGGTTTGCCTGCTTTACCTGGGGCAGGTTAGGGGGTGTCATGTCTTGTGCTGTGTCAGAGTTGATGGTAGTTTTACTGAGAGGGTAGATGATGGATTTGTATAGGATGGTTTGAATAGGGCTGATTCTGCCTCAGGCAGGGGGTTGCACTAGATGAGCTATGGAGGGCCCTTCCAGTCCGACTTCTCTATGATTTTTATGATTGTTTTTTATATGCCCCAAGTAATGTGACAGGGAGGAAGTGAACCCTTGCCAAACGCAAGAAGCTAACTACATAGAGTGACTTGCACAGCTGACCGAGATGACATCTGGGCTTATGTTTCCTGATTGCACCCCCAGATTTGGAGTTGGATCTGATGGCGTGCAGGAAGTGAGTGCATGTGTTGAACCTGGGAGGGGGATTTTTCTGTATATTTTGGATGGAGCTTGCGATGAGATGACTCAGGAGGCTGTTGAGTATCTGCACTTCCTACCCCTCTTCAGCAAAAAAGAACTTCCTGCAATCCTGCTGCCCTAAGCATTTAGCTAATTTGGGGCTGGGTTCGGTTGTTTTCTTTAGAAGCAGGAATTGATTATATGAGACAATGCTTTCTTTCACACGGTGTTGTTTAGCTCTAAACCAAGCCCTGCTCCATCGAACACAGCAGAAATAATTGTCCCTTCTCACAGGTCCCAAGTTTGCCTCTCCAGCGAGTCCCAAGAGCTCCATCCCTCTGCTGACTCTTCGGGACATTCTCACAACTGTTTCTCTCATTCTCCCCTTACCGCACACAGCTCAACAAAAAATCCCACAGCCCCTGGGTTTGCAACTGGTCAAGGGACTTAACTGCCTGTTCTACGTAGAAGAGATGCTGCTGCAGCCAGAGTTCAAGTTGCAAAGGGCTGGGAAAAGCCCACCAAGTCTGGGAAATGTTCTCAGTTTGGGATGAAGAAGCGGTTTCAACAATGTTTCACATAACTGTCCCAACACACGAATAGCAGCTTGATGGTGATGGGTTTCACTTCTCTGAGCGTGACCACAAGCAGCAACAACCAAGCTATTAGACTGCACTTCTCTCTTACGAGGAGCTGGTGGCCCTTGTTGGGGAGAAGTGTCCATATTGCTCATGTCACTTTTACATTTGGCACCAGCAGAGGCCAGAGTCTAACAGGCCACGAAAGTGGGTAAGCCTCTCCCAGAACAAGTGTGGGAGCTTCAATGGAGCATCATAGCAAAGCCAGCACTGGCACTGCTGGTGCTATTATGCACCTAGCCAGTGGAAAGGTGACTTCCCAGCCACAGTCATATGACGTCCGGCCCTGCTTTCATTAAATCTCATCAGCCAAGTCTGTGGGGTTCTGGCTGGTGCTTAGAGGGGAGAGAGCCAGGGGCAGTGGGAGCCGTGGGGGGCTGGTCAGATCATGGCACATTCTTCTCTCAGTCGATCCTAACTCAGTTCCCCAGCATGGTATGGGGCGCTGTGCTGCTGCAGGCACCGTCCTTGCACTGCGTTAAATAAGGAAAACACTTGCCGCTGCACTGATGCAGATTAACTGAGGTTCTCAAAGGCCACATGGCACTTCACGTAAGCGATGGAGAATTAGCCCTGGTGTCCCGGCCAGTTCTAATTTAAGAAATTACCTTCTGCCCAATTAAATTCCCTTCTCAGCACCAGCTGCCAAAGGCATTGCTCACTTCCTGCCCAGGGTGGTTACCTAAGGCCAATGTGCTCTCTTAAACAGCTGTGGTGTTCCACCCCAGGGACAGCTGCTTTTCAGCTGTGGATGAAATGGCTCATGCATTAGGAAAGCACATTGGGATCTGCTGAGATGAAAGGCGCAGCGCGAACATAAGTTATTCATGCAGACAGCCTGGAGGAGAGCCACTGCTCAATGCAGCTCCCACCAGAAAGGGAAGGGAAAAATAGATTCCACTGGCAAACAATATCCAGACTCTGTCCCCATCACCCCCACATGGTACCAGGACTCCCAGCCCTGCTGAAGGATTCAAACAGCTGAGGAAGCATCTGCAGTGCCTGCTGCTGATAAGAACAGCAGCCCCTTGCCCATACGGATGCAAGGTCATACCTGCTCATACCAAAAACGTTCCTTGGTGATTGCAAATGCATCATCTAACCTTGCTCTGACACATGGCCAGGCAGGAGATGTCTGACTCCAAAAGAGCTGTGGGGAAGCTAAAGGAGATAAGTTCATTGGTGTGGTGCCAGCCTGACTTTTCAGCTGCAGCGTGGTATGCATGGCCTGGTTGTTATTCTAGCCACTGCTGAGATAGAGATGCCACCTGCTGCCAGGTCGGAGAATGACTGGCTGGCCCAGCAGGATTGCCCTGTGAAATTGTGTATGCTAGTCTGTCCAGGGTTAGCCGTGCTGTGGGAAGTGTCCTGGGGGCTGTCAAAGGGCAACCCGTGTAGAGGACACTGTTGTCCTCTAGTCTGCACTCACCACTGTTGTGTGCTCCTCTTTTCCAACTTGAAGCCTGGGGGCTGGGAGGATTGTCCACACACCAATTTTAGGTCTACATTTTCATCTGCTCCACCAGTTTGCCCTATGCCCCGCTCCGTGTTTGACTCCATTTCCCAGTGTCTGGGCTAACAGACAAGCCTCAGCCCTGTACACTGAGACCTGGGTACTCCTTCCAGCTCTGCCACTGATTCACCGTGGGACCTTGGGCAAGTCTAGGGAATTCAAGGGGGTGTGCATGTTGTTTTGTTGGGATAGGGATAACCCTGCCTCAGGCAGGGGGTTGGACTAGATGAGCTGTGGAGATCCCTTCTAGCCCTCCTACTCTAATAAGGGCCCTGCCACAATCACATTAAAGCTGGGTGGAAACTAGCTGTGGAGTTGTAACACATTTTCAGGCACTACCATTGTAGCTGACTGGTTCTTTGTAGAGCTGGATGAGCTTTTTTGTGGCATGATAATTACTGTGCATGTGACCAGCCACATGTGCAAGGTAATTCTCAGGAGATAAAAACCTCCATCCAGCTATACAAAGAGCTGACCAGCTGCAGAATTAGTGCTTGAAGACTTGTTACAGCTTTATAGCTGGTTGCTATTTGAACATGGGGCAGGGCCCCTATATTACAACATTAGCTGGTTCATGGTGCAATAAATTTGGACCAGCCACACATGCAAAGTAATGATCACTCCATAAAAAGGCCATCCCGCTCGAAAAAGAGCCAGCTGGCCACGGAGGTAGTGCTTGAAGACTTGTAACAGCTTTATAGCTGGTTGCTATCCCGTTTTATTTTGAACATCCCCCCCACAGACCACCACCACCAGTCATCCTCCGCTGCCAGGCGCTGCAAAGAAGCAGGTAGTTTTGAACTGGGCTGGAGCCCTGCCTATGGCAAGTAGCTGGTTCATCATATTTAGACTCGCCACATGTGCACAGTAATTATCACGCAATTAACAGGTCCACGCCTAATTGTCATGCATTTTGCTGGCTCGCCTCATCCCCCCTGCAAGGTCCATAAAAAATGATCAAAGGAGCCGAGCGGCTCCAGATCCAGGGCCTGGCGAGGTGACACAAGGCTGCAATGCGCACGCGCGGCTGCGGGTTGAGGGCGCGGCCGGACCTCCGCTTGCCCGTCTGCGGAATGGGAGGTGCCCGCCCCGCCCCTTCGGCCCCGCC